GGGGCGGGGGGGAAGCTTGAAACATTTTATTAGAAAAATTCCATGGGACGAGGCCGGGGACCTCACAATTCAACCCCGAGTTATCCTGACAGCATCAGCGAGTTTAGCTTACAACTTTCAAGAACCAGCCAAAGACCAAACTGAATAAAACTACAAGGCCAAAGCCATGCTGAAGGAAGAAACCTTCCAACAAATAAACTTTGAAGCACAGGAAAAAGGGCTCACTGAGCCAAACTTTCCAACCTATGCAACTTCTCGTTGGGAAGCAAGCAAGCGAGTTATTTACCTGGGGCGTGGTCCCACTAGCGAAGAGGATCGGATCGAATGCCTGCACCTGGACGTGTTTGTGGAGAGGTGCCGGAAATAGAGATTGAACTGCTTTTCTGCATCTCTCCATAAAACACATCCAGATTCAGGCATTCGATCCGCTAGTGGGACCTCGGCCCTGTAGCCAAGCGCTGAAGATTCGTAGACAATTCGCCTGCTCCTTCAAAAAGTTAGAGTATCAAATCGTCCTTTTTCTTTTCTTGGAAAGGCATTTCGAAGTGGCCCGTCTATTTACCTGGGCCATGGTCCCACAAGCAACGAGTCTCGGATTGAATGCCTGAATGTGGACGTGTTTGAGGACAGGAGCAGGAAATCGAGATTGAACTGCTTTTCTGTATCTCTGCATTAAACTGTTAAACATGGCCAGATTCAGGATTTTTATCCTTTTTTTTTTTTTTGGAAAATAGACCTGGCGTAAGTCCGTTATCCCGGGACTAGGGTCTGCATGGGACCAGGGTCTGTGTTTTGGTACTTGTTGGTTTGGTTTGCTGTATAAGTAGTTTTTACTGCTAGGAGTAGGCCAGTGTAATGATTTGGCGTTTGGCTTGTTATGGGTTTGATCCACGTACCTACAGTACCTGTTTGCTCATTTGGCTTGCCTACCTGGGCCAAGTACTGTGTACCCGTTTTAGTTGGTACCGGATTGTATGCGAACTGGGTTATACTTGCATCCTCTGTGCGTTTTGTGGGTTTGGCCTTGTGATACCGGTTCCTGGTACCATAGAGGTACCAAGACACACGGTCTCGTATTTTGGTGTGCATTCTGACTTTTTGAGCGCACGTCAGGTTATTTTGAAGACGTAAATTGGTAATAAATAGTTCACGTACGTAGCGATCTACCTCTTTCAGGACTGACGGAGTTGTAAGCCACCAACAATCCGGAATATCGGTGATGAGCAGCACGGAAGTGGGAGTGAGGGAAACGCAGGCGTAGTTTTTGGGAGATGATTGGTGGTTGCCCCCTCGGGGACGCCGATCCTGATGATGCGTGATACTTTTTCCATTTGTTGAATTGGAGTTTGATTCTGCGTACTTCTGCAGCGTCCTTGACATTGTCTGCTTGGTGTTCTCCTTGCACTCTTTTTTTTTTTTTTTTTTTTAATAAGGCCCAGATTAAGGCTGATATTCCGAATGAAAATAATGAGGCCGGGGTCCTCACAGTCTGCCCGGAGAGACCGAACCAAAATTCACTGCAAACCGGACTCAGCGTCCCTCCTATAATAATGACAATGAACCTGATGATCCTAATGATGCAAATAAGATGCTGACACTATAGATGATTGTGATACTATTAAACTATATCATCTCTTTTTTTTGTTCTATTTTTCTCTTTTTTCTTTTTTTTGAAACGCCTCTTTCAGTGTTAGTGGTGCTGGTTAGAACAGACACCACTAGCACCTGAGGGGAGGCTCCATCTCTTGGTGGGGAGCAACACCTGCTGGAAAACGGGTCCAGCGTCCCAAATACAGATTGAAATTTGAAATGTGTTAGAGAAAGGGTTATGTTAGAGTCCTGCCAGCACTGATTACTCTGGAGACCAGAGGATTTACTGAGCAGTCCAGTGTCCCACCATACATCAGCCTGGGTAGTCATTATTGATTACCTGGGCAAAATTGTGATGAAGACAGCATACTAGCAGAAACTTCTCATGCCACATGTCTATCATGCTTTAAACACGAACGAACACCATCCGTTTTTGGCAGTAAAGTACACAGCAGTTGGCCTCCGTGCTGCTGGAGAACTAGTGTACCCCAACGCCATTTACATTAGCCTCCTTTGGCCCCCTTCACCACATACTGCATTTTATCCCCTTCCTCGCACGCACTGTAGGAGCATAGCTAGTTCCTCAGCAGTATTCCTTCTGTTAGACTCTGTTTATCCCCTTCGTCGCACCCACTGTAGGGCCAGAACCTGTTTCCCAGTTTCCCAGTTGTAATCTATGTGTTACATTCTGTTGTATCCCCTTCCTCGCCCCCGCTGCCGGGCAGAGGCACTTTCCGAAGGTGCAGTGCCACACCGAGGTCGTTACTGTGT